TGCCATTGCACTCCAGCCTGGGTAACAATAGAGAAACTCCATCTCAAAAAAAAAAAAAAAAAAGAATGAAGTGCAATACATGCTACAACAAGGATGAACCTTGAAAACATGCTAAATGAAAGAAGCCAGTCACAAAGGACCATATATTGTATGGTTTCATTTATATGAAATAGTCATATCAATCTATAGAGATACATCTTCAGAGACAAAAAGTCAGTGTTTGCCTATTGTTGGGGAGAAGAGGTGGCTTAGAGAAAAAATGAAGAGTGGCTGGTAATGGCAATAGAGTTTCTTTTTAGGGTAATGAAATGTTCTAAAATTGATTATGGTAATGATTGTACAACTCTGAATATACTAAATAAAAAGCAATGATTGTACATTTTATATGTTTTAATCAGATGGTGTGTTACTTCTATCTCAACAAAGCCGTTAAAAAGTATGAGGATATTATGAAAAACCTTACATCCCCCCAAAATTCATCTACTTAGATGAAATGTACTTATATATCAAAATATTCTTTTAAAAGTCTTATTAAAATGAACACAAAATAAATAGAATATTGAATAGTTATATATCTGTTTAAAATATTGAATCTGTAATTGAAGTCCTCCCATACAGAAAACTTCAGTTTACTATATTTCATAGATGATTTATTCCAAACATTTAAGGAAAAATAATAGCAAACACTTCACAACATGTCTTATGAGGCCAGCATAATCTGGATATGAAAATCTGATGAAAACATTATAAGAACAATGACAGGCCAATGTCTCTCATGAACATAAATACAAATGTTCTAAACATAGTAGAAACTTAAACTTTTCTATAAAAAGATAATAAATCATGACCAAATGGAGTTTATTCTAAAAACAAAATTTTGGATTAACTTTTGAAAATCTGTGAAATTAACCACATTAACAAATATATGAGGGAGATCACATGATTAATAGATGCAGAAAAAGCATTTGACACAATTCACCCTTCCAAGAAAAACCTCTCAGCAAACCAGAAGTAGAAGCAAGTTATTCAACTCATACCATCAAATATATCCATCTCATGTCCAGCACACTTCCAAACGTCATGTCCTATAGACACAATGAAGGGAAAACACTAATGTGTTTATCTAAACAATGTCTAGGTGATGAAGCAGGTTTGGAAGGAACCTGAGCTGTTCAGTGCCTGTTTAGTAGTGGGGCTCCCCCGGACCATTTATATTAGCACTGTTAGGTTAGAGAGACTTAAAAAAATTTTTTTTTTAATTGATTGATTGACTGATTGGAGACAGTCTCAGGATCACAGGTGTACACCACTACACCCGGCTAGTTTTTGTATTTTTAGTAGATAGAGGTGGGGTTTCACCATGCTGGCCAGACTGGTCTCAAACTCCTGGCTTCAAGTGATCCACCCACCTCAGCCTCCCAAAGTGCTGGGATTACAGGCATGAGTTTGTTTTTTTAGCCACTGTGATGGTGTATTTTTGTTTAAAAGGCTTAGCCACACCCCTACTAATGGAGAAACTGGCATGTAATGTATTTCACTTGAAAGCAGAGATGATTTGAAAGCATTTGGTGATCAAGATGACTATGCATCAAAAATGTTTATTGAAGAAGTTTACAGAGTGTCTACCTGTGCAGATCAATGAAGAGAATTGAATTGGCCCACAGTGAAATGGGACCCATTTCCTTATCAGTTTTAATTCTGGCATTTGCTAGAATAAAAATAATTGTTTTATTTTGGTACATATCATATTATTGAGTTTTGGGAGCCTTTTAAACACTTGAAGCTGTGCTGATTTATGTATTTTGATGAGCTTAACCATTTACCTTTATTACAATTACTGACGGATTTGAACTTAATTCTGCCTTACTTCTTTTTGTTGACCCCTTACCCCCCACCCCACTTTTCTTACTTTCTATTGCAGGGGTCCCCAACCCCCAGGCCATGGACCAGTACTGATCAGTGGCCTGTTGGGAACTGGGCCACATAGCAGGAGGTGAGCACAGGCAAGCAAGCATTACTACCTGAGCTTCTTCCAGTCAGATCAGTAGCAGCATTTAGATTCTCATAGGAGCATGAACCCTATTGTGAACTGCATATTCGAGGGATCTACGTTGCGTGCTCCTTGTGAGAATCTAATGCCTGATGATCTGAGGTGAAACAGTTTCATCCTGAAACCATCCCGCTGCCCAGCCACCTGCTACTTCGCATTCATGGAAAAATTGTCTTCCAGGAAACTGGTCCCTGGTGCCAAAAAGGTTGGGGACCACTGTTTATTGAATTTGAAAGTCCTATCTCAGCTGGGCGTGGTGGCTCACATCTATAATCCCAGCACTTTGGGAGGCTGAGGCAGGAGGATCACATGAGATCAGGAGTTCGAGACCAGCCTGGCCAACATGTTGAAACCCCATCTCTGCTAAAAATACAAAAATTAGCTGAGTGTGGTGGCACATGCCTGTAATCCCTGCTACTGGGGAGGCTGAGAGAGGAGAATTGCCTGAACCCGGGAGGCAGAGGTTGCAGTGAGCTGAGATCACACCAGCAGAGCAAACTGTGTCTCAAAAAAAAAAAAAAAAAGTCCTATCTCACCCTTTACTCCTACTTCTTTGGGAAGCTCTAGAATGCAATTTCTATTCGTTTGCTAATCACCTTGAAAATTTTAACATAGTTACTCAGTATTTCTCTTCTAAACATGCCTATTTTATTCCCATCCAAGCCTGCTGTAACCACACATTGAACACCCCCAAACTGCTCAAGCTGATCTTACTATTTTTGTATTAGAGTTTAAATTTTGACTACTTTTTAAATGCATAAAAATTATGTATTAATTGTATGTAATTATGAGTTACAAATAATTAAATGTACTTATTTTTAAAAACATGATTGAAGAAATTATCTTTTCTCCCAATCTTTCTTTCTTTCCTTCCTTTCTTTCTTTCTTTCTTTTTCTTTCTTTCTTTCTTTCTTTCTTTCTTTCTTTCTTTCTTTCTTTCTTTCTTTCTTTCTT